CTTTCCCTTTGTTTTTTGGTTTAAGTTTCTTTCTTTCATGAGACAGAGAGACAGAGAAAGGTAAGTACCCTCAATAGAGTCTCAAGCCAAGATCTCCCCCCAGCCTTCCCAGGCAGGCAGGATCACTGGCAGGCTTGTGCAACCTGGCATGGACAGGCTGGCCCAAGTAGCCTGACCTTCCGCATGGCTTACAGCACTGCGGAGTGTAGTGGTACTGCCATATCACCACAGCGGGGCCCTCGTATTTAATACATACTTGGTGAAGTGGTACGTTATAGAAATATCCTATTTTTCAAACTTGCAATTTATAAATGTACTTATTTATATTACAATGGAGACACGATTTCCTGTTTCATTCAGTGGGCTATAATCCTTTGCCATCATTATTTGATACTTGAATTTTCCCAGATAAGACCAGGGGGAGTCGCTTGCCCCTTCAAGTTTGCTTTTGTTTCTGACATATCCACATCATTTTGGAGTACCTATTTACTGTTAGAAAAAGATATTTTAGGCTTATCTCATAATTTCCCTGCACTAGCCAAGAATAAGTAAGGTATCTCTTCATGAGCCTTGGTTCCTTTAAGTGGAGAATGGTATTTAAAAGCCAAAATCTGGATACCAGGTATGCTCATTGCTATCCAGTATTGCTGACACCAACTCCTTGCAGTGGACAGAGCCAGAGAAGATATCACACACACAACTACAGTAGGCACTTAGATTCACCACATACTGAAAGCTATGGGCTCACACTGATGGCTCCAATTCCAGTCTAACATAGGAAACACGCTAGTTTCCTCCTTTACATATTTGTATCTACAGTCTCCCAAAGTGAAAAACCTTTTTTTAAAAAAAAAAATTACATTCATATTTAATCATTAATATTTATATTTCATATGTTTAAATGTTAACATTTGTATTTAATATATTTACTTTTCCCTGTGGGACCACTCTTCAATTAATGCTCCACTTACTTCCCCACCCAGAAGCCCTCTTTGCCCTCTTTGTACACTGATATTAGGGTTGGGCCTCGTTGTCCATCTCCTCACACCAATGCTCTTCACCTCAGGGTCCAACATCTCAGCTAGGCCACTGTTGCTGTCTCCCTTCTCTGTGGATCCCTCTAAATCCCGCTTGAGTTCCAACATCCTGTGCTGAGTGGCTACCACCCCTCTCCCATACAAATCTTTTCTCATCTCCCTCAGGTTCCACCACCCTTGGCCAGGCTGTTCACTGGCTCAGGTGCCTCCTCTTGCCCCTGATATCCCTTCTACCTGGTGCCCTCTTCCAGAATCTGGTAATCCTATTGGGTCAATGACATAAGGAGACCCCATGCTCAGTTGTCATGGTCACACACACTCTAGGAGCCTATCTTGCTCAACTTTTCCAGTGACTTCTGGATAGAAAAAAGTTGGCGGGGGTGGGGATAGAAAGAATTTTGTTTTTTGATAAAAAATTCCTCTTTTCTGTTCTAATCTGGTGACCAACACCTTGCAAATAATTAAGCCTGTTGTAGGCAGATTTCCCACCAAGTATATTATAAAACAAAAACAAACCTTAGTAACAGGAGTCCCAGGTTCAGGAGAAAATGATAACTGATCTTGTCTACAATACATCAAGAATTGATTCTTGGTGGAGCACTGGTCCAGAGGAAAAGTGCACTGGGCCACAGGGGGATGATCTGGTCTCCCTTATGGTTAGATCTATACCTACCCAACCTTTACTGAATCGTAAGACACACTTTAAAAAGTATGCTAAGTTATTTTGTTATTGTTTTTTTTTTTTCTTTTAAGTTGAATGAAGCATAAATATGGAGGGAAAAAAATGTGAGTCAATCGCCAATTCAAAAATTGTTAACAGCCTACGTGTTATACAATTCTATGATTAAAGACATCTTTCAAATATGAGTGAAAACCTGAATGTTTGACTACAGATAACTGTGAATCAGAAATCGATGAACAGACCCAAGGTGACCTCCTAACTCAGTCATCAAAGAGTAGGTCACTTCTTTCATGACAGAATTCCCTGACATCTGAGCTCCCTTTCAGAGTGAGCACAGTGACTGAGGGAGCCACTTCCATCAGCTATTCCTTCTAGTCACAGGAAGAAATATACTCCTGGAATACATTTGCCAGTGAGGAACTCTAACTTGAAAGATTTATCCATTATCACATAATTTCTATCCTTCCTTAAAAACTGCATTTCCCAAAGTATGCTCCAGGAAATAGTACCTTCTCAGGAATGTTAGTATTTGTTATGGAATAAAAAGGGTTAAGAACAAATGAGAAAGGGAGCACTAAGCCACACAGGTGTCTCTACTGCAGAACTTCTCAGAGATGAAATTATGTGAATCTTAAAGAGACAAAAAAAATGAAACACAATTGTTCCTCCCCATGCCCCCAAATGATTGAACTGTGGCATCCTATTCATGAAGCATAAACTAATGTTTCATAGAAAAAAAATTCTTTAACATTTAATAATAATGAATCACTTGAATTAAAAACTCAGGCCATTTATAAAAAGGAAACTATAAGAACTTAGATATGTAGAAAAACAATCAAATTAATAAGAATCAAAGAAATGCAATTAAAACAATGAAACTATTTAACTTATTAAGTAAACAATGAATTCAGCAAATGATAATCACTGAAAATATTATGAGCTAGGTGCTCTTATACATCCCTGATGAAGAGTATCCTTTAAGAAAACAGTACGGGGGCTGGCAGGTGACATGGTGATTATGAATTCAGCAAATGATAATCAGTGAAAATATTATGAGCCAGGTGCTCTTATACATTGTTGATAAAGGGTACCCTTTAAGAAAACAGTACAGGGGGTGGCAGGTGACGTGATGATTAAAGACGCTGGACTCCCACATGGCTGACTGTGGTTTGAGTCTTAGACTTGGCAGCTTGCTTTCTCACTTCTCTTTCTATGTCTTTCTCCAAATTTAAAAAAGAAAAAGAAAAGAAAAGAAGAAGAAAACAAATAGTAATAATAAAGTTAAATAAAAATATATTTTTTCTTTTTTTGGAGAGGTTTTTGCTATAGGGCACATGCGCTCGCCAGCCAGACAGAGAGAGACAGAGATAGAAAGCGAGAAATCACCCCCCCCCAGGGGAGATGGCCACGCCACAATCCCTTCTCCTCCATTCTCCTCTCGGGATCTTGGGCACGCATGCACATGCGCCCGGCGTGAGTTTAAGCCACTGGGTCCAGGACTCAAACTGCGGTCGACTACATGGGAATCCAGCGACATAGCCATTACGCTAACTGCTGGTCCCAAAAATAATTCATTTTTTAAAGAAGAAAAGAAAACAGTGCAATTCTTTTTGAAAACAGTTTAGCAAATGTTTTTAAGATATTTATGTCCACTGTCCTTATAATGGTCCATCTTCTATCTCTCTCTCTTTTAAGTTGTTGTCATAGGGTGTGTATGGTAGCCAAAGAGAGACAGAGAGAGGGAGAGTAAGAACTTACCCCCCACCTTGGGAACAGGAGATGGCCATGCCATAATCTCTTCTCCCCCACTCTCATCAGGATTTTGGGCACACATGCACACACACCTGTGCATCCATACGCCCGGCATGATTTTCAAGCTGCCAGGTCCAGGACTCAAACCACAGTTGGTCATATGGAAGTCCAGTACCTTAATCACCACGCCTCCTGGTCCCAAGGTCATCTCCTCTTAAGGAAACAATCTAAACCAAGAAAATGCTTTATGTTGCAATATGCTAATGACCTTACTTCTTCTAATAGTGAAAAAGTCCAAAATAATAAAAATTCCCAATAACGAGGAAATGTTTCAGTGACTCATATTATGCAGCATGGAAAATATTTGTTAATACAATATATTTAATAGCATGGGGGGCGGGGGGATTGTACTGGAAAACGTACATCACGAATGTCTAAATACAGCTGCAATTAACCTTTAACATCCACGGAAGATACCTTAGCATAGGATCTCTTCCAAAAGTACAGTAAGGAGCAGCTGAACTTTTAAAGTGATTTTCAGACCCTTACAAAAATTATTATAAAACAGTCACAAAGCCTTACCAAGATGGGAACTTAGGACAGCTGGGTATGTCAGTTGGGAGTTAAGTGTTTTACTTCAAACCCTGGATTTGCAATGCGACATGAGAATTCAAATTTGTGCCTTGGCAAAATTAGAATTTAATAGGTGTCATGAACTTTCAGGGCTGCTTGGGAATATTAGAAATTGCAAATATTAGCTCTGTGAATGCTAAGGGTCTATTTATTATTTCTTTAACTCAAAGAAAAAATGAAGGAAAAAAATAATCCAAAATGCCAGCAATGTTTATTTTGAGGAAGAGAATAGGTGCAGATTAGGAGTGATTTTTTTTTTTTTTTAAAGAGGTTTTCACTATAGGGTGCATGTGCTCACCAGACAGACAGAGAGAGACATTGAGACAGAAAGCGAGAAATCACCCCCCAGGGGGTATGGCCATGCCGCAATCCCTTCTCCTCCATTCTCCTCTCGGGATCTTGGGCACGCATGCACACGCGACCGGCATGAGTTTTAAGCCTCTGGTTCCGGGACACAAACCACGGTCAACTATATGGGAGTCCAGCAACATAGCCATTATGCTAACTGGTGGTTTCCAGGAGTGATTGTTTCTCCTACCTATTTTGTGAATGTCCCAAACTTTAATGGATATGCGTTATTTTTCAGTAAAGCTTTGGTGAAATGTAAGTACGTAATATTTTTATAATCAAAAAAATTAAAGTTTACTTGCTAAAAAGAATAACATATAAAAAAGCAAATACCTGGTTTTTTGTTGTGTAATCTGCCAAGATGTTAAGAAGCTTATAAAACACCTCGAACCAGGGGAGATAGCTGGAGAAAGAAGAGCAAACACGAAATATTAGCATGCAGATCAAAAACTGGAATCAGGACCTAATTCAAGACTGATACATTTCAGTTTCTTTCTACATCCTGAAGAATCTTGCTGTCATCGACTGTGCTAGAAACACAGACTGGTGAAATGCTAATTATTTCTGGGATTTTAAAAACTTGCCTGTGCAAGGCAGAGGATTGAATGTCCATTATAAATTATTCCCATGCCTGAGAGCTAGACAGGTTCATAGAGAAGAAATTCAAAGCAGACTCTGCAATCAGGCACCATCTCTGAGTAGCCCCCCCACCCCAAGGCCTCTCTCACGACACCCACCCTTCCCCGGAAAGTTTCTATTCCACTGCTCACGACTGCACACACAGGCCTACACCCAGCACTCTCACTGCTGTCTGCAAGGTATCCCAAAGGCCTCATGAGCCCGCAACCAAACACATCAGACACCCTACCTACAACGCAGCCTCTCTGACTTTCTATCCCACTGCCCTCCACCAGGCCCTGAGCATCTCTTCCCTTAACTCTGTCACTCACGGAGGAGGCCTGGACACTGACTTACCCCTGCTGTCCACCCTCTCTAGCTCTCAGAATGGCCTTTATTTTTTCTCTCTCTCTATTTCTTTCATAAGGAAGAGGGACTGAGAGAAACCATCAACACTGCAATCCACTATCAACTCTAGCCATGGTGCCCCAGATCGTGGGCACACATGTGCCCAAGCATACTCAGGGAGTCTTATAGACACAGATCTGGAACCTTCCCACATGACAGACTCACAGAATATTGCATTTTACCACTGTTCAGCTGTCTAACCCCTCTCAGAATAGTCTAAGATGCATCTGTATGCTGTCTAGTGGACTAAATTGCTGCAATGGTGTCCATGACAATGGGATCCAGTCTACACTTCTTAGGGAAGCTTTGGGGCTTTCCACTGCCACGCTCTTGACCCCCTCTCTGGCCATCATCCACTACCCTACACACATGCTCCCGTCACTGCAGCCTCACTGGGAACATCCACACGCCCTCAGGCCTGCCTGAGCTTGCAGACACCTGGCCCTTTTCTCCGCCAACCTTTGTGGTCTAGTCTAACTGATTTCTACTCACCCCTAAAACCTCCCCAGCCCTCCTGTCCCCACCTCATGTGCTCTATGTCCCTCTTCTGTGCAGCCCTGGTCACATGCATACTTTTGTTGAAACAGCCCCACACGATGGAGTGCTCCCTGGCATGTCTGTCTTCCCAATACACTACGCACAGGGAAGGGCAGAGCTTTCTTCACCATGTCCTCCCCATGCCAAGAACACAGTCGTACACAGTCCGCGCTCAGTGCTTACTGAACAATTACAACTACACCAAAATGACAGCACAGGCATACTAGCACCATAGAACAGTTGCTGAAAAGAATTCTTGCTCCCAATAAGTTTTGCTTACTTCAAATGGCTTTTTCCCTATAAGGAACTTTTCTGAATCTGCACCTCACAGGCATGTGAGAAAAGAGTTGTACCAAGCACTTGGCGGCCTGACCTGCTCACATCTGCCTGCTGAGCTAACAGTGCCATTACTGATAGAGCTGGACACGCTGTGGAGCACAGATGTGACATCCTGCCAAGGAGGGGGGAGTCAGCACCCTGTCCAGATTACAGGCTGTCCCGCCGAGGGTAATGAATGAAGTGAAAGGCAATAGAGAGGACAGACAGAGTACACAGTCCTTCATCATTAGCGTCTGTCTGAGGCCAGCACATGCTACTGTAAAATTTAAGTAGCTTATCAAAATATGCTGATAAGCAACTTAACTTTCCACTTCTCGGACAGTATTATCACTTACGTTAATATGTTTCAATCAGCTCCGGCAGCTGCGCACCGACTATTACAGGGAGACGGCTGCTGCCACTTACTCAGCGTTCAGTTTGGCAGAGCAATGTAAACATTCGAGAGGGATTAGGCAGGAGATAAGTCCTCCCTTCCTATTCTGTTAAATAAACCTCAGCCGGGTTAAAAGCCATTATGGTAGGAATGAGAAATCCCCTCAGAGGAAAACTCTTGCACAGATTAGAAGACTCTTAGTAAACAAATTTAACCAAGGATTACAGATACATATTTTTTTCTCCCCTGAAAGAAAAATACAACTAGTTAAATTCAGTAACTGTAAGTCAGGAGGGAGAGGAGAAAGGAAGATGAGAAAGCATTTCCTTGCAAGGAAACCGTGGTCTCAAGTAAACGAGAGAAAAGCTGGATTCGTTTCAGGCCTGCCAAGGAAGTGACCCAAGGGCAGGCTGGATCCTCTGACACGTAGGACTCCAGCAAACATTGAGGCAGTTCTGGACAACTAGGTTCAACTGACCGACAACCTTGGGCTACAGGATCCCGACCTTCGCATCCTGGCCTGCTGTGAGGACGCAGGAAGACCCCACGGTAAGGACTGCCTGGCCCACAGCAGACAATGCCTACGTCCTAAAGTCAGTCTCAGTCTCACCATGTCAACACCCTCTAGCTACACTAAGCAGAACTGCTGGCCACGGAGGCTCAGCAGTGACCTTGGGAACCAGCCATTTCTTCCTCCCTTCGGCCTGAGCAGACACAACTGGTGCCCACATGTTGTCCCCTGTGCACTGACAGATGAGTGTCTAGTGATGGCAGCGTTAGGGCTTAGAAACCAAAGCCCAGCTGTCTTCTTCTTCAAAGGACCCTGTCCTCCCCTGTTGGGAGGCCAGGGTTCACAGCTGAGCTTTGTCCAGTGGCGTTTCCTGTGTGGCTTCATTAGCGCTGGCCCCACAACTCCGCACTGCCTGCCAGGCTGCAGGTGAGGCCGTGGGGACCCTCTGCACCATTCTGTATGTGTCTGTCATCATCAAGTAAACAAAGCTTCCTGGTGCAAAGACAGGAAGCAAACACTCCATTTCACAGTTCAATCCTGGACATCTGAAGGGCTCGGATGCCCTGGCCCTGCCCTACTGGCTACCTGTGTGATGCTGTGCGTCCTCTCGGCAGAGCCTCACTGTGTGGTAGGTTCATCAAGGCAGGGGCCAAAAGACAAATAGCACACAGTCGCTGACCTCGAGAATGCCACGGGCCTGGTCAGAAAGAGACGTGCACACAACAGAGAGCAACAGTCTAGGTGGGTGGCGCTGGAGCTCTTTCCCAAGCGCTTTATATAGCTTAGGCATCTGGATTGATGCAGATGATGATAATGGAGCATCACTATGACCCAGCTGACAGATGGGGGAAAGTCAAACATCAGAGAAAGGGCCTCATTCCCAGGTACTAGCAATGGAACCAAGATCCCTCAGTAACTATGGCTCAGGTAACTCCGTCCCAGCCACTGTCCTCCCTTCCAAGCCTGACAGTCAAATGGAGAAGCTTATGTTTTGTGTGAGGCAACCTGAAGTTTTCACATTTGAAGGGAGTTCAGGCAGCACCTACCATAGTCCTACACACAGCTTCACAGACATGGGGGTACTAGGCTCTTGTAAGTTGTGCACAAGTTCCAGAGATAGCACTTAATGGTAACCATAGCCCATGGTCAGAATCGCAGAATTAAAATGTCCCCAAGCACATCAAACATGGTTTTTGCAGGAGCAAAGTGGGTGGCAGTGTTTGGGGGCATGCTGAGTGAAGACATCTATATTTAAACTGTCAGCATGGTGAGCTGTTCACTCTCCTGCTG